TTGATCGAGTATTACGTATTTGACAGTAATTGTTTCGGGCGGATGTTGGACGGACAACGAAAGTAGACTCCCCAACGGTGTCAACGGTGTCCGCTGCCTGAAGTGCCGCGGCGTGGTACGAATACCCGTGACGGGTACGCGTGTACAAAGCCTTGTAAGTACACTTTAAAATCGTTATACGTCGTTTAATGTCTATTTTTTCGTTTTTGTCGTTTTTGAAATTGATGAAATCTATTTATGTCATTAAGCTTTGTGATTTATTGTCAAAAATGTATTTACAAATATTAATTTATAATCGTGTGTATAATTTTATTTTATAATTGTATTATTATCATTATTACTATACAGCGTGGTGTAGACAATTGCAAAGTTTGAGTCGTTTTGGACTCTCGATCTCTCGATCCGTGTCGGGTCGACGGGTCCCAGAATTGGGTGCACGCAACAGGACTCGTATCCTGCATCTGGCAGCAGATGCCAGACACCTAACAAGAAAAACACACATATTGGTATAAGGCATTCATAGCACAGGCAGTGGCGTAGCTAGTCCTAATGGGCCCCGTATCAAAATTGGTAGGGAGGCTCTTTTTCATCAACTCCTTTTCAAAGGTTGTCTGCTGCCGGGGAGGCCCCTTCTCTCAAATGATAGTTTGTTCTGATTACCATACACTAAAAACTATAATTACTTTCATTATTCATTCATTACGGGCCTCCTAAGAATGAAGAGAGGTTGTGGATAATATTACAATTGATTACACACAGGTTTTTGCTCACACACGCCTCTGAGCGTAGGCATTCGTTGTCAATATGTTGGCTAATATGACCAAAATGTTTGTAAGTGGATGTGGCCTCTTTACTCTAATACTAGCGGCGCTAGCGTTTATACACTGTATTGCCATGGTACAAACTTTATGATCTATAAGGCACTTATAGATGTCTTAACACTAAAATAATAAATGGCCTTTCTGAAGGAAAAATCCCAGAAGCTACTCTTGAGATGGCATCAGTGCTTTGACATCTCCAAGTCCCTATAGCTCTACCCTAGTCAGGCAATAATAATTATTTATCGTCTTTCTTATAGTCTGTCAGTGTCAAAAGATATACACGGTAAAACTACTTGAAAGTATATATACACGTGAATGTATACGTACAGGACAGGCTCAGCCTGTTATTTAATGTTATTTATTATTATTATGTACAACTACAGATAATAGACGTATTAATGGACAATGTCTCAGTTTAATGCTGTTTTTCATTTTCCGACCGTATTCCTTGTCGCAAACAACACGAGTTCAAAGGCACTAAAAAGTAGAATAAAACTGAAATTAAAAACTCCCGGTCTTCGGAAGGTGCGCCGGGTTAACATACGGGCACTCTCAGACTTGGTGATAAGGGTCTCCCGCTCCCTCTACCCTGGGGGAAGAAGACAGAGAAGAGAACTTCGGAGCGCGTCAGCGATGGGGTCGTTGATTCGGCCGCTCCGAGGTCGTTGAGATCCCTACACTGATTAGGAAAAGATCTGATGATCTTTAAATAGTTTAAAATCTTATTATCAGCATCAAACATTGTTAAGAAGTGGCCTGATTAGCCTTCATATACAAAAACCGCTTTCTCAGATCACTTCCGTTTGGGAGATATGATACCGCAAACATACAATGTAATTACAATTTCACTCTTTTTTTACACACTTGTTCGTCTTTGTCGATTTGACCATAATAATGATTTTGGCGCCGACTGTACCATTGTAGAAGGTAAAGAGCTCATTAAGCATCCACTTA